TTTACACTCCAGCAAAGTTGTCCAGTGGCTTCATGCTCTGCTGTCCTATAAGCCATCAGCAGTGGAGGTGGTAAGACATCCCAGTCATCTTGGCGGCTATTACAAAACTTTGTCAATTCCTGTCCCAGTGTGCAGTTGTACTTTTCTACCATCCCATCGGACTGTGGGTGAAGTGGCGTTGTCCTGGTCTTTCGGATGCCAAACAACTTGCAGCATTCTTTGGAACACAGCCGATTCAAAGTTATGGTCTTGATCTGAATGCAGTTCGTATGGCATACCAAATCTGAAGAAGAAATCACTAACAGCCGAAGCTATAGTTGTAGCTTCCTGATTTGGTATTGCATATGCCTCAGGTCACTTGGTGAAATAACCCATCACCACACAAATGTACTTGTTTCCAGCACGAGTTTGGGGCAGAGGACCAGCAATGTCAACAGCTACTCTTTCCATTGGTGCACCAACTTTCGGGATCCTTCTAGATATAGTGTAGTCTTGTATATATAAACCAGTAAGAACTGAGGCGAGAAAGGTATTGAGTTATTGAACTGCTGACAGAGAGAATATTGTTGGGCGCGTGAGACGTTCGTTATGAGTTATAGCGTTATAGCAGAACAGGAGAAAGACCAAGATTTGAAGCCAATGATTGATTTTCTCAAAGCAAGTGTTTTGCACCCTGCTTGAGAGAAGGTGTCAAGTCTAAGCCCTGTGATAAAGAACTATTGGGCACAATGGACCAGTTGAGGCTTGAAGATGGTATTCTTCTCTGGAGATGGGAAACTGCAGATGGGAAAGTGACGACCTGGCAAACGGTTGTACCGAGAAAGTTACGGGAAGTTGTGCTGCAGCAATCCCAATATACTTTAACAGGATGACATCTCAGAGTTAAGAAACCATTGAGTCACCTACGACACAGATTTTACTGGATAGCTATGAGGCAAGATGTGGAAGAATGGTGCAGTACATGTTGTGCTAAAAGGGGACCCCAGCATAAGGGACGTGCTCCAATGAAGTTATATCTATTTAAGGAAGGGACGTGAATGTTCGAGAAGGACGTGGCGTGATACTAGTCACGTGACCTCCGCTGACGCAACAGGTCTAATAAATGCTTCCTGTTATTACGTTCGTGTTTTGTTTTATCATTAAGCTACGTTTTCCGAAAAATGAGTCGATTACTATATATTTTATTATAAGGATTATTTTAATTCTTCTAGACTACCATCTGTGTGAGTCGATGTTTTAACACTGCCCAATCTCTTATCACGTCAATATTCAAGTGATTTTCACTATGATTTTAGGCCGCACATCTTCATTCGTGTCGTTAGACACTGATGTTGCTGCATTATATATAGATTTTTTAATGTAAACAATATTATTCCGTGACCTATACCTTTTATTGGTCTCTGCCCATCACGAGTATCGAAACCCGGTTTCCAGTGTTGTAAGTCTGCAGACATGCCGCTGTGCCACTGGGGTGAGGGGGCCCACATTATGAGTCTTGCAGTGTTAGTAGGTCGCTATTGATGTAGAAATGAAATCTAGAGTGAAATAAAGCGCCATCTTTTAGAATTAAGCTCCTACAAATGAAAATGTGTCTTTAAAACTTCAAAAACTTTTGGGGTTTTATTTGGGAAGTTAACGAGAACGTTTGGCGAAGTCTTAGAAGAATATTTTGAAAACTTTCGTTGTTTTATATGTAAGGTATATACCTTTCTTAATATTTTTAAAAAAGAAAGAAATTACAAGCTTTAAAATAAATTTGTGATTTTTGTTAGGCTTTATTATTAGTTTGTATTACGAATGTCGATCCTTGGTTTACTAATTCAAACTTTAAGTTAGTTAATCACACATTATAATGATTATTCAAGAACGTTCCAGTCTTTAGTTTAGACATTTTTAATTTTATCTTTATCTCAGAATCAGGGTTAAGCCATTAACTACTGTTAAAAATAAGTTGTATTTTGTAATATGAGTAGTACAAGAAGTAGTATATTATAACTAATATTTGCTCTGCTGTTGCTAGTGATATTACTATTATAATTTACGTTAGTCTAGATAATATCGCTAGTTCTGTGTAGTCTAGGTTAGGCTAGAGATAGTGGGAGATTGTTTATTACACATTCACAAATAATATTGATACAGATATATACTACAATTTATAACCTGGAAATATTTAAAATTAAAATGTGAAATTGCCCAGTTTCTTGAAAATAATTTTTGCTTAATCATTTTGTCTTTAACTTTAAGGATGATCTAAGTTCAAATGTAAAAGGATGTTAAGTTCTAAATTTTTAATTTATTGATAAATAATCTTAGAATAGGATCTTATTCATTTTCATGAACATTTATGACATAAACAATTTCAAATTCAAAGGCCTTTTAATAATTCTAGTAAATTGCAACATTACATCATTAGCCACAAAACTTTCCAATTCCATAGCAATGCTACTCATAAAAATTACTATTGTTTCATACAAAACAAATTCTTGCAGGCAATATCAGCTTTTATTGGTTGGTATGGGAGAGGCATTAGTGTAGAAAGATAACGTTTTTTTGTGACTAGAACATCCAGGAATGATATTGAGAGTTTTTTAATTACAATTCCATTATGAACATAGCACCTTGGTTAAAACAAATGAAGGATAGTTAACCTAGTAATGGATGATCCAGAAGCTTGGTATTGGTTTGATATATTTCACTGTTAATACCACTGATTATAACTTGTGTTCATTGACATTACTAAATATTTGACATCAATTTTTTTATTCACCTTATTAATTTTATCATTCTGTTTTTTTAGAATATATTACAGATCACAGTCTGCAAACATTTATTTTTTATCCCTGTAGAGTTAACACATTAATTGTTCATTTTATTTTAAAAAACCTTGATGTTTTTCCATTATGAATCTTATTATCATTGACTGCTACAACTATTAGCACTTTAAATATATTATTAGTCTTAAAATCAGTAGGAATTTTCTTTGACTTTTTATAAATTTTTAATAAGCTGTTTGTTGCTAAAATTACTATATTTAATACTCTTAAGTTGGTACAGAAACCTTTGCAATAATAGTGAAAAGTTTATTCCTTTGAACAATAAAATTGAATCTTGATAAGTGGTTTAAAGTTTTTTTTCTCTAAAACATAGAGGAACTAGAGATGATTTGAAGTAACATGTATTTCAGAATTGTAAAATCTACTTATAATACTTTTTTGAATAATGAAGTGAAAAAGCTAGAAATGCATGTGTGAATATTAGATCCATCAGATATAGGCTTCTGAATTCCATATGCAGACTTTTTCAATAGCAAGATTATTTCTTAATTGAAGCTATAAACTTATGAAATGGTTTTTGTTGTTAACGTAATATTTTAAATTGTTGAATATGTGTATAAATATGAGAGGCCGCATGCCGGTTTTAGTACTTTTGTTGGTTATTTGTTATTTGATGGGTGGAAAGGATATCTTTATGTTTTGAATGGCCATCTGTCACCTCACTCTTTTTTGTACTTAAAATTAGAGTTTGAAATATCATTGCCTAAACAAAGTAGTCAAAAAAATTTCTTGCAAACTCTATAGGATGTTTTAGAACTGTTAATTATACGAATTCTACAATCTCCTACAGCATTGTTTCCCAAACTGTGGGTGCATTTTATAATAAATGGAAATCCACCTAAGGAAAATTTATTGTTCTCAGAAATTGTTAATATTTTTGGTGTTTGCTGTTATGAAAATTGGCAGAAAGGGGGGTTGAGAAAAGAATAAGTTTACGAAAGGCTGTTATTAAACACTAAACAAATTTCTACCTCCCTGGTATTCAGTTTTAAGTCAAGTCAAATTTAGAAATAATATATAGTTATATGTTTGTTTTCAAAGTTACTTAATTGCTATATGTTAATTAAATGTACATGAGGTCAGTTCATTATATTGACCCCTGTGTTGGAAAAGTAGCATTAACTATAATATGTATATACATGAAATGTGGCAAGCTTTCCAAAACATACATACCTCCGCTGACAGTAATAGCTAGTTCTTGATCTTCATCTTTGCCATCTAATGTTGTGTTCACTTGCTCCAGTCTTTATATACCCCACTTGACTGCCTCGGCAATATCTAATTTGCAAAACTTTATGCCGGTCCTCACACACCCTCTATGCAGGTACTGTATATAAGCCTTGTATGCAGACAATAAAATCAGTTTTTCTTGACAAAGCGCAAGCATTCACACTAACATTTTGTGATTTACATTTTCTTAGTTTTCGCTTTCTAATAATCGGGTATTCTTTTTGTTATCCAGAGAAAAAAATTTGTTGAATTTGTTTTTTGTTTTTTCTTACTCATCATTCTGTGGTTACTGGTAGGGATCCTATCACAAAGATATATATATCTGTGGTCCAACTGCCCTTGCCACCAACATGGGATATGGGTACCATGAACCCTTAAATCCAACCCGAGTTGTGGAATCTCGGCTGTTTGGTCAGGGCTGGACTATTATACTTGTATTATTCCACCCTTTTCAATTTTCTGTAGTTCTCGATGAAGAGCATACCTGTTTTGGATGTAGTGTGGTGTTCCCCACTTTGATACCACTTTTTGTGGTACATATTTGTTCTCTGCAGATGCTTTCTGTATGATCTCTGTCCTCACTGGCCCCTCCGCCTTCTCAGTGTGGGATTCTAGCTATTAGTGTCATTGGAGGTATGTATGTTTTGGAAGTTATCATTTTCCTAAACTGAAAATGTATTTCCAAACATACTTACCTCTGCTGACACTCTCCCTCCCTTCCTCCACACTAAGAGCTGGTGTTAGTGACCAGAATGATGTAAGTTGCGAAAAAGTGATGTTATTGTCTGCATACAAGGCTTGTATACAGTACCTGCATAGAAAGCATGAAAGTTCCAGCATGAACTTTTGCAAATTAGATATTTCCGAGGGCTGTCGAGTGGGGTATATAAAGACTGGAGCAAGTGAACAGAACATTAGATGGCAAAGATGAAGATCGAGAAATAGCTATTAGTGTCAGCAGAGGTAAGTATGTTTGGAAATACATTTTCAGTTTAGGAAAATGATAACGTTTGTCAACAGTGCAAGTCTTGTACATACAACCAGATTTATGACTAAAATTTTTGAACTAAAATATGTCTAAGATACCGGGCTATCTGGCTCAGATTCTAACAAGTTGGAGTACAAGGCAATGTGCATGAGCAAAAAAAAAACTTGTCAGTTGTACAGTTTAGAAATTTCATTTACACAGTCTCTACAACCTCTTAAATGTATATCTAAATTCATTTTCAGTATTCCTTTATATCTGGTACTTTTTTTAACACAAACTGTTGTGTTATTAGCAATGTAGGGTAATGTTTTGATCCCTACCTGTGCACATCGGGTTAACACTACAAACTGATGGTATATTTGCTCAATATTTATTTTTATAGTAAATTAAAGGAAATGAAATAAATAAATAAATAAATTTTAAAGATTGACTCTAAATATGCTGAATTAAACATATTTAATTTTTTTTTTGCTAGGTTCGAAGATGCTGACTCCACGTTTTGAACTTACTCAGAACCCCCAGTTTGTTATTTTAGTTATTCATGCTCCATATACAAAGGTAATGTTTGTACCTAATGAGTACGACAGTCATCATTGTTATATCCATGTGTACACATCTTGTAATTAATGAGAATGACACTATCATAGTTACAGCTACTTGTAGATATGATCTTATATATAACGAGACTGACATCATTACATTCACAATATTCAAAAGCATAGAGGATCAATAAAAAGAAGTTTGCTTCAAAAAACAACAACCCAGGTACTTTCAGAAATTCCATTTTCTGAAAGCACTTGTGTTTTTGGGTTTCTTTTCTGATACTGTTATTGTTACAGGCGTGAGTGCACGCGAATAAAGATTTTTAAAATAAATCTTTTATTATACATGGTAAGCTGTGACATGTATGTTTTTCAAAACAATATTGAGACAATTTGATGCAAACTTCACACTTGAAGTTAGAATCCCTGTCCCACCAAACATGCTTGCCCTTTTAGCCATGGGGGCATTATAATGTGACAGTCAATCCCTCTATTTGTTGGTAAAAGAGTAGCCCAAGAATTGGCAGTTAGTGGTAATGACTAACTGCCTTCCCTCTAGTAATTTACTGCTGAATTAGGATGGCTAGTGCAGACAGCACTCGTGTAGCTTTGTGCGAACTTCCAAACAAACCAAACCAATCAAAATAGTTTTATTATTAAAAGTTTATTCTATGTGTGTCTTACTTGGATTTTGCTAATCAAGTGATTTTAATTTGGGAGATTATTGATGTTTAGAAAAGGTGTTGAGAAACTACAGTCTTGTTTGTTTATTTACATGTAGTTGATAGTAATGATATTAAATAATTTCTGAGGAACTGTTTGCAAAAATGCATCTTAAAAATGTGGGGTTTAATGGAAATTAGTGAACACATCTGCAACACCTCACAATCCAACAACAACTGTAGCACCTCAAATTTTGAAAGGTTTTGAATTTTTTACATTTTCTATAAGGCTTATTAGACTTTAAAAGTTAATGTGGAAATTATTAAAGTTGATCAAGATGCTTACTTGTTTTTTTGTTAGAAGAAGGTAGTTGTAAATAGATTTCAGTGTTCTTCTACTGTCTTTTTGTTAATTGAATTGTAAGTACACTTTTAGTTTTTCTTTGTCTTTTTTTCTGAGGTGTTTGTGAAATACATTTTAGTGTTTGTCTTTTTGCTGAGGTGGTTTTAAAAAGATTTTGGTGTTTTTGCTTAACTGGTTTTAAATATGTTTCAGTGTTTACCTACAGCTTTTTTGCTGAAGTGCCTGTAAATATTTTTCTCCTATTGTCTTTTTAATGAATAGGCCATCTGGCTTCTTTATCTTCTCTAGGCTTTTATTTCTGTTAGCTGATTATGAATCAGTTTATATCAATTTAAAATTTTAACTAAAATACATGCTTCGTTAGAAAATTTTAATTTTCTTTCTGAAATGTTACACTTTTAAATAGAATATAGAAGTACTTAACTTCCTTGGTCAGTTTATTTGGACTCCCATCTATTATTGGGTTGAATTAAATTTCAGTACTATAACACCCTAGATTTAACCATGGCATAGACTCCACAAGATGCCTGAAGGTATATTACTTGATTGTAGCTCATCTTCTGAAGATTATGTGCAATGGTTTCACAGATGGCAGCAGAGGATTATTGTGAGGAACTTCATGTCCAAGTTTATCTCAAAAATGCTTCATTAAGTAAGGACTGGAGATTATACTGGCCAGGAAGGTGACTGAAGACACTCAAGTTTTCAATTAAATTTGGCTCAGCAGCTACAGGAGAGCCAATAACAAGCAGTGGATAATGCTACTACAGATCTGGGAAACTAAAGGAGTCTAAATTGGGCCTGTCCACCGACTTGGGGGAGTGCAATGAACAGCTTGCACAAAATGGTTTAGTGGTCAACCCTGCTCTTTCAGAACTTGGTGGGTCTTGGTACGTGCTTGTCAGAGTACAAGGGTGAGAGATGGAACACCCAGAGCAGCCAGAACACTGGCAGATCTCAGTATATCAGGTGTTCCAAGTGAAACTACCACATTGACCAGTTAACACAAACTTTGATCTGGTGATGGAAATAAACTAGACATGAATAGAAAGGTAATTCTCCGATTGTGTCTAGCAGGCATTGGTCACAAGATGAAGGTAGCCTTTGCCAACTTTAGTCCTGGCATTGGCATCCTTGGGATGGATGTACTGAGATGTTATCAGTCAGTTTTACCTTTGCAATCAGTTAATTGATGTTCCATTGGAAAGTTATTTGATGCCAGCCAAACTGCACCCAGATACCGTGTCTGCACAAGCTTATGAGGGAGAGGAAGTCACATTACCTTAATGAGCACAATTAGTTTTCCATTGTTAGCCTTGGCATAGCGGCTCATAGAAAGGCTTTGAGTTTTTGTTCAAGTACAAACTTTTAGTTCATAGCTCCATCTCTTGACCAATTTGAGATCTAATTACAGCTGTGGCTATTGAGGATTCCTCCTTGTTTATTACAGATGAAATATATGCTGTTTTCTGTCCAGCATACAAGCAACATCAGCTCAGTTAGTAATCTGACCTAAGAGAGATGAAGTCCTGGTGTTATTCTGCAGTTATAAATGATTGGTTTCCAGCTTCATGCAGGAATGGTCATTGGCATAGTGAATGAAGTGGAGGTAACTTAGGCCAGCAGTAATGATAGGATTGTGTTTGCCATGCTACATTTGAAAGTGAGTAAATGGTTACCAACATATCTGAGATTGCTAGTTGAGGATTATGCAGACAATATAGACTTGACACAGTGGCAACAACATAGTGACTTGTAAGCTGAATATGCTGAGGCATTTGTGTGACCAAGGTGGTGATTAAGTCAAACAATAGTCACACAGTATCATATAAATGCAGATGATGCATATCTGATTAAACAACTACTGGACAGGTTTCCCTGGAGCACTATGGATATAGGCAATGCTGAGATATAGCAGATGTTAAAGGATGGGATCATATAGCCTTTGGAGAGTGCTTAATTATCTTCATTAGTGATTGTTAGGAAGAAGGAAGGTACTACGCTCAGGTTCTGCTTTGATTTTAGATGGGTGAAAGTGGTTACTTGTTTGATCCCTTTCCATTGCCAAGAACAGATGAATATCTGGAAAGTTGGAAGGAGCTTGATGGTTTTATACACTAAACATGGCATGTGGATACTGGCAAACCAAACTGGATGATGAGAGCAGACCTGAGTACAAGAGATGGCTTGAAAAGATTTAAGTTGTGATTTTCAAATGGCCTTTACATAAATGTTCTACACAACGGATTAAATAGACATTTGACTTTACCACTGAAACCTCCCATAATCAAGTAGTTGAACACCAATTTTTAGAATTTGAAATCTGTAAATGTTTCACTGATGCTTGTTTTTAAAAATTCACATGTACCTTGTCCATCTTTCTCTGGAAATTTATGTTTATTCTACTGTCTGTGCAGGTTACAGATGCAGAGCTTTTCTTTCATGGGAATGATTTTAAGTTCTTCTCCAAGCCATATTTTCTGAGGTGAGTGTATTATATCATATGTCCTACAAATGTCCAGATGTCATATAAGATAATGTGGAGGTTAAAAATACCAAATACTTTATTTAACAACAAATATATTTTGGTTGCATGAAGTTAAATAGATATTTATGTTATTTTATGGAGGTGTTTATTTTTTTTTTTTAGTTTATGACTAAAAAATTATAGCAAGAGAACAATGTTATTGGATTCACAAGCATTCCAAAATGAATATTTTCTTTAACGTACGAACACATCACAATAATTATTGAAAGATAACTTCTACTTAATCTCTTTATTTTTCATATTTTTATGAAGAATATATTTTATGTTCTATTTTTGTATAGTTTTCCCTCATTTCTTTATTTCTCTTCCTATACATTTTCATAAAGTAATTTTCCTATTTCATTTTTTATACTTCAGAAATTATTACTTATGTAATGTGTGCTTCATGAAGTTAATTTCTTGTTTTTTGGAAATAGGTTGACTTTGCCTGGAGAAGTGAAAGAAAATGGAAATGAAAAAGCAACATATGATGCAGAAAAAGGTTAAAAGAAATGCCATTTAACCTGTACTTTAATGATAATTTTGTAAATATTTTGTGTTATTTACATACTAAATTCATAATTTTTTTAAAAATAAACTACTCATGTCATAAATGATCTATGTACATTTTACTAGTCACCACAGAATATGTGAAGTATATTTTAAATAATAATAGTCTTTCCTTCAGAGGAATAATAAATGTCTTCTTTAAAACAACCAGGAAAAAGCTTCAGTCTCAAAAATAATTTTTGTTGCATCTTGTGTTTGTGTTAGCCTTTATGCAGCACATTGTACCATTTTAGTTGTGTTATTTATTGTTTTCACAGAAAACAGGTAAGATGTTTTGTTTGTAGTGTAATTTTTCATACATTATTCATACTGCAATATTTTCTGGGGCTTCTGGTTCACACATATCTGTTTTTATTCTATGAGATGTCTTGAAAATTAAAGCACCACACATAGTTAAGTTTAAAGGAAGTTTGCCTTCTAGTGCCTTGCACTGGATCTGTGATCAGTGAGGACTTTGAAGCAGGATAATAGCAAAAGATTGATGTGGTTCAGAAACTTATTATATTCAATCAAACAGCATGATGTAATTACATCATTTATTTTGAAAGCTTCTTAGGCTGTCTTGTTTACAAAAAGTGATAACTACTTGGTGATTTGTAAAAAACAAAACTGGTAATATTGTGAAAAAAAAAAGATTTCCCCCAATGTAAAATTAAGTTTTATGTGGCACCAAACAATTTATATGTTGTATTGTGATTGTATATGATTAAAAGTTTGAAAAGAGTAATAAAGAGTATGTTTATCATTCACAAGCAATGTTTTTCTAAGTTATTACCAAACATATTTTACTCTAAAATTTTTAAACAGAATAAAATTTTAAACTAGAAGAATAGGTTCACTATGCGACTATCTAAAAGCAAAAGGCTGATTATTGGTGTTAAGAAAAGGCTTTGTGTTAAGGTTAATGCTTTTTCACTTTAATTAATTGTGACATATGTTATTAATGAGTCTCTCTACTGGAAAACGTCTGTATTAATTGTTCTGAATGACTCATTCAATGGTCTTATTTAGGTACATTTACTATCAAGATGCCCAAAATGTCTCCCGGTGAAGTGTTTGAAGGCTTGGACATGATTACCAAACTTTTAACACCATCAGGAAAAATTTCTGCAGCATCACCAGTAATTGAAGTTCTTGGTAGGGTAACTTTTATTATCTCTCTTTATTGCTTCGAAAAATAGATTGCTTGTCACAAGGGAATATAGAGCTTCTAAATGTATGAAAAGTTTGTGGGCTTCATTACCTATTCTTTTAGTAAGATTTTATTATGAATCAATAGAATCCTTATGTTCTTGTATTTCAGAAATAAACAAACATGTAACCTTATGAATCATACTTGAAATACTTCATCCTTACTTCTTACAGCAATAAATAATTTGAATATTTAGTGCCACAAAATGACCTAGCTAGAATTCACCAGAGAACATGTAGACCCCCTCTGGTCCAATCCAGTCAGTTGTGGGATGTTTTTGATTTTAAACCAGGGGTGCTCAGAAATTAAAGAATTCCTCTTCACCCTACTCTGATGTAATCATATTTTAAAGCCTGAATGAATTATTTTTCCTAACTCAGATGTTTTTAGTATTTTAAAATGTGTAGTTTTCTAACTAGCAATTTTAGAATTTGATTGACTGACTACCACCTCATTTAAATGGCAGCCTTATGAAGAGATGATGGCAAAGCCTTGGTGAATTAGAATTTTTTTCTACTCTTTTTAATTCCTGGTACCTTCTTCGTTTCTCATTTGGCCTACTCCAACATTATCACTACATTGACTGTTTGTATCTGAGAGAGACCATACTACTTGTGCCTGCCCCGCGGGGCATTCACTCTGTCTCAAAAAAGCCTGAGACTGCTCCATGCCATTTATTATATAAATCAGTAAACAATACAATCTCTTGAGACTCATTGTGATAGGTATGAGTTGTAGTTCCATCGTTTATTACCATGAGGTTGTTATTTTCAATGAGGTGGTGTAGTATATTACCATTTATATTAGTTTCACATCAGTTGAAATCTAGGTGCTTGGAGTTTAAGTTATGAGGATTATTGTACGTATACGTTGGTTAAAGATGGTTTGGAATAAGGTGGTGTCTGTATGTTGTGCAGGGAATATATAGACTGCAAGCAGTGCTATGGTTGCATGATATGGAGGGTGAAAATGGCATAATATCTATTCATTGGAGCTGTTTGTATTGAGGCTAGGGAATGTTATTTTTAAATCTCTCTCTTTTTTTTTTTAATACAACATTGTCATTCCACATGTGCTTGGAGTTCTTGGTTCTGTTCAGGCTGAGTAGAGTTTCATTAATTCTTATTATGTCTGAATTAAGTTTGGTACTAAAGGTTAAAAAGTTTGCACTTTTTGGTAATGTAAACCACCTTGAATATTTACATGCAACACTTTGATTATTTTATCTTTTCTTAGGATGGGATGATCTTCATTGGTGGTGTCTTCTCTTGATAAATGCTTCCAAGGATTTAAGATCCTGATTGTATAAATTGAAATAGAAGTAGGTTTCTTCTGTTAGTATGTCAAAGATCTTTTGTTCTCCACATGTTGATGTCCACAGTGAAGGCTACAGTGCTGCCAGTGGTGATCTGGATTCTTAGAACCCTGCTTGGGTGGTCCTTGTGGTTAGTTTGTGCTGTTCTTGCTACTTTGAAGACCTGCTCCCAGCCTTAGTGAGCTGGGACACAAGAGTAGCTAAAGGTTTCGTTTGTTGTTCTCATCCCTGTTTACTTGAAACACTCCATTCTTGTATCTTACAGACTCTACAGAACTAAAAGAAGACAAAGATGATGATGAATTTGATTGGCAGATTGAGCAGATACCTTGGTCAGATGACAGTACCATATGTGGAGAAAAATATGGGTTTGCTAATGAACGGTATGGAGTGTGTACTCGTCTTCAGGTACTAATTTATCTATTTTAAAGGGTCTATTTTAACCATTGTTAATTCATTTTAGATTGTGTTGCATTTTTCAAACTGTATATATTTTCTCTTTACAATTGTTTTTGACAATCCTACTCAGAGTTGAATTTTAGCTCCATATGCCACCTGGGACTGTAGGTGCTATTTCATTTTATATGGTCTTTCATTAGGTGGTTCTTGGTGGGTCAGCTGTAAGTTTATAGATTTACAATGCAAAAATCCAGGGTTCACTTTGTATCTTTGCATTCAAACAAACTCTTCAGGTGCAATAAAGGGTAGTTTCAATTTAACAATTTTTTTATATTACAAATTGAGAAATGAGATTAGTGTATAAAGAAGAGAACCCAGTTTGTTACATACCTAAAACTTAAAATATAGGTGGTATTTATGAAAAAAGTATAATCTACATGAAACATTCATTTTTTAGCATAAAGTAAAATGTTTATTGAAATTTTTAAATAGTGTTCAAAAGCAAGTACTTTAATACAAAGGTGTAAATATTTGTCTATCACACATGAATGTCATAACTATATAGTTGTTAAGTTAATAGTTACTTTTCTGTTCAGTTGATGAGCATGAGATTATCATGTTATTTGGTTCACAGTTCTAGCTTAAAAGAATTGTCAATTATTGATTGTTTTATTTTTATTCAAAGGAAGAATTACCAGACTTGGTGGATATTAAAAATCCAGACCATAAATCTATTGAAGAGAGGAGAAAAGAAAGAATAAATGCAGAAACTGCCCAGTTCAGTGATGATCATTACCTGTAATGAAATTTTACAATTATATTAATTTTTAAAGTTTGTTATATCCTGTATCTAGATGTTGTTATGTATTACAATTTTGAGTGGTCTGAAACTGAGCTAATTGATAATTTAAATTTATTAGTTAGACATATGCCGATATATCTCCAATTTATGATATTTACCAACAAGTTTGATACACACAGTTTTCTTGTTTAACACAAATATATTTTAATATACAAACAACAATACAATTTACAATGACAGTTATTACAAACAGTTATTACACACGATTTATATACAAAAATTTTACAAAGTTACAAGCAATATAAAGTCTTCTTTCTAGTCTGGAACTTCCTTGATATCTTATCGAGTTGATTACGGGTTGATGTAGATACGATTCGCTTAACAGGAAGCTAGCTAGCTTTGTCCTTCTTTATTCACCAGCCACACACGCCAAATTTTCCACCGTGAAGTTATATAATGTTTTCGTAAAAATACAAATGTCCGATGAGAATCAATTGAAGTTAAATGATTTGTAATGTTCGAACTTTGTAAATGCTTCTGGTCAAATATCTGAAGTTTTCCGATTAATAAAGGCTAATCACAATTATAGTTATAGCTTCCAAAGGTTAAAGCACACTGACTATAGCAAACTAATAATAGATACTACTTTTTTGACACGTCGCATTGGTTATGTTTATAGGAGTGTGGAGAGTTTCTAGAAAAATCAGATTATGTAACAATACAAAGCTACACTAGCGTTTACATACACACATATATTGTTGATTCTTACACTCAAGAATCTTCTACAACTTTAGAGAATAGGCGGGAGTTTCACAATACATATTTAACTGCATAAGTTATGTACATTTGTAAATATAAAATTAATTCAAGCAAACATCAATATTATAATAAATATATATAATAATAAATATGTCACAATGTAATGTGTTTATATGGTAGTAGCATGTGAAAATCCCACTAAACCTTTCCTGAACCTGTTTACTTGGAATGTGGGAAAAATAGCTTTCTAATCAGACATATCAAACACTGGATGGCAAACAAATAATGCTCATTCAGTTCCCAAAGTGTGCCATTTTTTTTTTTTTTCTGCAGACACATGAATCAAACAGAAACCTCTTTTTTACTGTTTGTTATGTGCCTAGGGAACATTCATGTATATTGCTGATAACTGATGATGCAAGACAAATAGATGAATGAAGTATGATATAATCATGATCAATCAGATCCATTGTGGCACACCATTGCAAGTTGCTGAAACTAGCCACTATTCAGTTTTAAGAAGTAAAGCGAAATAACTTTTTCATTAATATTGAATTTATAAACAAGTAATTTACTTTTGTAATTCAAAGATATAAAATATTTAAAATACAAATGAAAAAATATTCAGTGATAGGTTTGGCTTACAGATTCAATGTGAAGGGAGGAGACCCATTTAGAAGTTTCCCTAGGCCTATTTGGAGGAATGTGTTAATTGTATAGCTTTCATTTACAAAATATCACCTGTAAACATTAATATGTTTCATATAATACTTAGTGTAAATGCACACGAGCAAGAATAAAATAGAAAATTAAATAACTAGAAAATAAGTTAATGCTTTTTAATATGTTAAATATGTTATATGGAATATATGTTGCTGTTTGTAAGTAGTGTATTTTCTATAATACATTTATTTTGAAAAAGTGTTGGCATCTCTGCTCGGTCATTTGACACACAAATCATAAACATTAGGTGTCTACCTGACACTCGTGCAAAAATTTTTATTTCACTCCTTAAATCATTATAGAAATATTTAGGTTTTCTTGTATTTTGATAATGACAAAAGAAGTAATTTTTTTGCAGTTAATTATTGCAAATTTCAAATTTGTTCATTCCTTTTTTACTTAAATGAAAATAGGGTAATTCAACAAATTGTTCTGTAAAAAGTAAACCATCTCTGTGAACTTCACAAAATTATGAATTGGCATTTCTTTAAATAGTGATCTGTGAGAATATATTGAAAATTAATAGTTTGAATCGGTGTAAATTCCTTTTTGACTTCAAAATTAGCTCAGTATTAACATTTTTACTTTGGAAGATCATTTAGCAAAAAGCACTTGCTCTGGAAAGCAAGTGTTTATTTCACGTTGAAAAAACAAAGATGATTGCTGTTGACAGTGAAGCATTCTACTACATCATAAATACATACCACAGTTTTAATACACTACCATTCAACAACATGCAAGTGGGTTTGACTTGAAGCAGTATGATGGAGAGTCATTTATATAACACATATTTTTCATAAGAAATATAAAAACTCATCTTTTTTACATTATAAACTAAAAAACCTAATATTCTTAAGGATCTCAAGTAGTATCCCAGTAGGAAATTTTTATTAATGATTCATTATGGTAATTTCAATAATAATAAATGTTTTTGCTCAAACAGCATTGGTAAAATGTCCTTAGGTCTCTATAAAATATGCCATATTGAAGTTAAACATTTTGTCATCTGAACATTATATCTGAAAATAACTAGAACAGGGGGTATTCAAAGCTAATTCAATCCATTCTCTTTTTGTGTGAATTTTTTTATGACATTATGTACTTATATAAAGTTAGTTACATGTTTTCTTAAATTACTTTTTCTCTTTAGTTCTGATTTGTATAATTAGCTTGCTTTGATCAGGAGCTATTGATAACACAGGCCTGCAATAGGTTTATTGTCTTAAAATTTTTCATGTTTTACAGTAATTCTTGTATGTTGAATCCAAAAATGATATCCATTTTTCTCAATCGTGTACAGAGTTTTCACAAAATGTCATAATGCAATACATAAAAGAAAGACTACAATATGTAGTTTTGAGACCAAAAGATGTAGATTTCATGAAACAAATCAGGATGAATGAGGATGCATAATTGTTTGACATCAATGTTTTTCCCTTTTCTTCAGTTTGTTTGTAGTTTTGTTGACAAACATAATAAAAAATGTTCATTGTGGTAAACGAAATATTAATTTCACGAAAAAATTAGGATGCATAATCATTTGACATCAATGTTCTTCTCTTTTCTTCAGCTTGTTTGTATTTTTGTTGACAAACATAATAATAAAAAATGTTCATTGTGGTAAACGAAATAATAATTTGATCTAAGTAAGCTTTTTTTGCTTACATGATAGAAAAAAAATATTATTTTCGAAATCTGCATAGCTGAATTATGGAAAATCCATTATTAAAATCAAAACAACTTTTATGAAGTTTAGATTTGCAGGCTTGTGTAATTGAAGGCTTGATAAGAGACTCTTCAGCATCTCCTGACATTGAATCTAATGACATGTAGTAAACATTTTTTTTCATTAGTGCTGATATGTATCAAACTGAGCTAATCCAAGAAGTGCTGGAGTTCCAAGCTCCATGGGAAAAACTCTACTATAATCTGGGAAACTCTGGTAATGCAGATGAGTTAGGTGAGAGTGAAATCTATGTGCAGTTTATCAGAATGACATTTAAAACATTACTTAATTTGTGTTTTTAAGTTAAAGAAGTGTCTTCATCATTTTGTATTTTAATCTTATTCTTTCAAACTGTAAAATGATAAATGAAATAATTGAAAATTGTAATGATTGAAATAAGTAATTTTAATTAGTTCATTATTTTTGTGTATTGTGACACTAATCCATTCAGCTGAGCAACCTCAAATTGAATAATAATGAGAAATCATAATGCAGACATTTTGATTACTTGAATAATGATGGGAAACACTAATTTCAGTTAGTTGATAATTTATGTGACATTAATAAATTTGCTTGTAAGTTCGATTAATCAGTTATTTTATGTGTCACTATTTGATGTAATTTATATTCATGGGTAAATGATTAATTGAGTTAATCAACTAGCTCTGTTTAGTAACTTTGCCATAAACAGACAAACAAATGGTTTGTGATGATACATGCTTTTGTTGTTAAATTCATAAGCATGCTCTCAGTCTTATTACTATTGTGAAAAGCTTGCTATAAGTGTGAATGATGGTTGATGTTTGAATAATTAGACTTAGTGTTATGTGTGAAGTGCATTGATTATGCTTCTTATGTTTTTGCTCAATTTCAATATTTCAGTCAGTTTTACAGAAGCAGAAAGAGAACAGATGAAGAAGTTACCAAAAAAGGAATATATCCTTTAACTTCCTAATTAATATATTTTTTTGCTCAACTGTGTCTTGGATGGTTAATTATTTGTTTAAAAAAAGCTTGAGTAAAAAAATTAACATTGTACTTGTATTTTAGTTTGTCATTTTTCTAGTTGGTTGCCTGTTATATGCTAAAATAAAAGTAATAATCATAATTTCATTTGTGAGCATAATAGTTAACATTTTCTTTAAAATTACATATACTAAAGTTTAATTTTCTTAGGACTTTTTATATGACCTTACATTAAAAATTACTACTTTAATTGTATTAGAAAATATGCATTAAAATGACAATTACATCTTATTTGAGTTGAAATAATCTCCATATAACATTATATAACTTAGTGTTATGCTTTCTTAACTTTTCTCACATCTGCTTAACAAAGCCACTAAGCAAACCTTGTTTTTAGGCCTTGTGGATATATTATATGCTTATGCTTATGATGTGCGAACAACGGAAGGGGAACAAACGGTTAGTTGAAGTTATTTGAAATGAACTTGGGTTGTTGTTTAGGTTTGTTTTTTAAGTTGTTACATTTCTTGATTTTATTTTTCTATCTATTTTTTTTTAGATTAATGTATGACAATATTAGTATACAATCTTGCATCTCTCTCTCTCTAGATTAATAAGTGATAGAACTAATATGGTTGTTAGTATTTAAATGTATGATGGAAAGGCTATGAATGATATGGAGTTTTACATTCAGGTCACATCTAAACTTTCATGTATTTATGTATGTATGGTTTCTTAGTTAAGTTTCATCTCCAATTGGAATAACCTTTTCTTCCAGCTTTTTTTTTTCTCAAGAGTCATTAAGTATATTCTGTAGATTTCTGTTAAATTTTTGAACCTTTATCGCTAAAACTAATCATACATGTATTTTAGTGTATCCATCAGTAATTATCATGCTATAGCCAAAATTTGTGAAGATAAATCAAATTTATATTAAAAATAAAGAAATAAGAAGTAGATTCAAACAGTTTTAATAACTCCATAGCTGGTAGACTGAAACTAGAATTTATTTTTATCCCCAATCTCCATGTGTGGTATCACCAGGTAGAGTCAAGTTGGACCATCAGCAAACTAAGTGCTACTTTGTCATGGTTGGAGGTGAGTTTCATTAATTTAGATAACTAAGATGTAGGACTAGACAAGCTTCAGTTAAGTTTTATTTATTAATGTAGTTAAGGTATTAGTTTTTGAAAAATATAAAAAATGACTAATACAATGTTTTCTATAATTTTTTCTCTGTAACTACAGGTATTTACATCACTAAAAAGTGTGACCATTACCACTGTTCGACGTAGCCTTTGCTACCCATTGTTACGTAACTGGAATTTGGCCATGAAGTTGATTAAAGATACTCAGCAGATTTTAAGCTTAGGTAAATTTCTGTAGTTATTCAAGTGATAAAGGATATTATCTTAGCCAATTTTATCTTGTCATTTCTGGATGTTTTTTATACATTTATAATTGTTATTTTGTAGTTTTAACCATGTTATGAGATTCTTTCAAGTAGTTTAAGGTAGCATATACCCTTTACATAGTGTTATCTATTCATACTATGCTTTTGTATGAAAATATATTGAAATAGGTACAAAGACATATTCTGGCACATGTTGTGTAACATTACCAATGGCTAATTTGTGTGGCCAAGTTGCATATTATAAAAATAAAAAAATGTCTTATTTTCTTGATAACTTCTACAAACATGACTGAATGCTCCTGAAAATGGGTCCAGACTTTTCTGGGATTTGAAGAATTAGTCTGAACTAAGGAAAACTCTGAAAGTAAACAAGTTAAGGATTCAAAATATGCAAACAATTAATTGTGATATTTTTGACATTTAAAGGGTATATGTTACTTTAAATGACAATTTGTGATATTTTCACTATTTTGACATATACATGGAAAAACTAATGCATCACCTAGTTGATTTTTTTTCACACTTTTATTGGTTCCTGTAATGTTTTATGAGATTGTACATTGTGGAAATGTCAGAAATAGTGTAAAACAATTACAGACATTGTGTGGTATAAGCTGAATCATGTTTCAGTCATCCAAACACACACGTGCATCTTTATTGACAAAAGCCCCTAGAGGTGGATTCCTGTACATGGTGAGGGGATCTCCCAGGGAAGGTTCTGTATTTTCAGTTTACCTCTTGTGGGATCTGAACATCCACCCACGTGTTTGCTGTCCATGCGACCCATGAAGGAGAAGATCCTGGTGGTTGAATGGTGTCTGGAGCACTGCAACACACCACTTTGGCCTTGAATTCCTGTAGATGAGTAGCCTTGGGGTGGATCCCCAGGGTCAATCGCCTGGTCCTGTTAGGCTAGAGTCAACCGAGTACCAGTGTTGGGTGTTCTCAGCGGGTGTTGTGGATATCATGTCTGATGCTGATGTCTAGGTATAGTGCTCACGAAACCCTGGCATTGCTGCAGTGTCCTTGTTTGACATTGTAGTGCATCCCCTCCTAGGACACCATAGTGGGTGGGGTCAGTGGGCACTGAATCTTTCTCCTTATATTATGGATCCCCCAAATCCTAATAAAAATAAAATAGTAGAAACTCCGCTCATTGGTAAACGACCACGCCTTGAAGACTGAACAGCAGTCTCTACCCCATTCTGCACTTTTACCTCATTTACTTATCATACATTCTTTGTCGGAAAAACCTTTAGGGAAAATGTCTCCCTTTTTTCATTCAAAAGGGATTAGAGGCGTTTTCTGGCTCTCCAAAGTCAGTTAAGAAGCTACATTCTGGGGACATCTTGGTGGAAACATCAACACCAAAACATAGTGAACTCCTCTTGAATTCGAAGGCCATTGGGGATATACCCATTGAGGTTACTACCCATACTAATTTGAATTCCTCACGAAGAGTTATTATTGAGAGGGATTTGTAGAACCTCCCCGTGAGTCAGAGTTCCTCGCTGGTTTCTCTAACCAAGGAGTTTCTGCAGTGCGATGTATCTCCACTCGAAAAGAATGAATTATGCTGCCTATCAGTGTTCTCATTTTGACGTTTACATCCCAAAATCCACCTGCCACCGTCAAGGCAGGTTATTTGAACTGTAAGGTACGGCCATATATTCCCAACCCTCTCAGATGTTTCCAGTGTCAGTGGTTCGGTCATTCGAAGGCATCTTGTCGTAGTTCTATGACGTGTGCTCGTTTTGGTGGCAAGGACCACGACACCTATGAGTGTGAAATGGACCCCTCACTGTGTTAATTCTAGTGGTTCCTACCCCTATTACTATAGATATTGCCCTAAGTTGGTGGAAGAGAAAGAGGTACATCATGTAAAGACTGTTAACAAAACTTCTTACCCCGAGGCTCGGAAGTTATTGTCCCCTATTTCATCTCGGACATATGTCTGCACTACACTACACTGCTATGGTGGGAGTGCAGATGGACCTTTCCGTACCTCCGTCAAAGTATTTTTTACATCATGTGAAGGGTCTTTTGCTCTCAATGAATAACCGAGCTCACAATTCAACGTCTACTCCTATCTCTGTCCCCATCATTCCTTCCAGTGACTGCCCAGGTCCACCTCCTATAGCTCGGGCCCATTTTATATATCCCCAAGATGCAGAATAATTATTTGTTCACGCCCTCAGTCACTGGAATCTAAGTCTAATGACAGAGATCTGTCCACTCGACCAAACGCAGGATCCATGGAGGTTGATAGACCTCCTTCCAGTAAAGAAAAATGGCATGGTCGTAAACAGAAGGATTCTCCACCCAGTTCTTCTTCACCTATTTTTAAAATGATTGATTGACTCCACTTTGATACAGTGGATGTTGAGGGTTACATTCTAATCTGGATGACATTAAGGCTTTGATTGATTCCTATCATCCCGTGTGTCTTTCCTTACAGGAAACATTCCTGAAACCTGCCAATACAGTCATCTTTTGGCAGTTTTCTTTATATCGGAATGACAGGTTGTGTGATGGATGAGTGCATGGAGGAGTGGCACTGCTGGTCAACCAACACGTGCCCACCTTGTCTGTGTCACTCTATACACCCTTGGAGGCTGTAGCCATCCGTGTTTCCTTGGGTCGTAACATCACTGTTTGTTCTCTCTACCTGGTTCCTGGAGAGACCTTGTGATCAATCAGACCTTGATGCTCTCGTTGAACAGTTGCAATCTCCCTATTTGATCCTGGGAGATTTTAATGGACACAATCCCCTCTGTGGTGGTGCTTATATTAAAGGGAGGGGTCATTCCATAGAGTTGTATGCTCTCAGATCACAACCTTTCTCTCTTCAATACTGGTTCTT